CATCCATCATCCATCCATCAGCCATCCATCATCCATCCATCCATCATTCATCCATCATCCATCCATCCATCATCCATCCAGCCATCCATCATCCATCCATCCAGCCATCCATCATCCATCCATCCATCAGCCATCCATCATCCATCCATCATCCATCCATCCATCCATCCATCCAACCATCCATCCATTTTCATCTGCTTATACCGGGTCGGGTCGCAGGGGTAGCTACATGTCTGACCAAGGTTGTGAAGCTCTTGATGTGTTTAGGACCAACTGCTCTTCTTGGGGCCCAAATCCCGTCCCCCATAAGACCACCTGCAGGTGTGTAGTCTACAGGTACGGGTCAGGGTTAGGCTATAGAAATGAAAATGAATGGAAGTCCCCGTAAAGATAGAAAGACAAACGTGTGTGTGTTCAGGTGTGTGTGTTCAGAGCTGCTCACATGAGTGACGATGAAGAAAGTGGCTGCATGAAGCTGCTGATACAGCAGAGATACCAGGTTTAACAAACAGAGCTTTTTACAGAAGTCAGCTGGTCACACACACACACACACACACACACAGAGTACCAGCTGGTTTCGGCTGCTGTTAAACCGATCTGTTTGTGAGACTGACTGAGGATGAGGAGGGAGGAAGGCTCTGTGCTCACTCAGGACGTGACTCCTTCAGCGTCGTCTGTAATCTCACTAACCATCAGAATATTCTGCTTTTCAATCCAACTCTTCATGTAATCCCATAAAACGACGGTTTCTTCTACTGGAAGGATCTCGTGAGAACAAAGATCTTGGTCAGGATCAGATTTAAAACCTGTTTCCTGAAGTTAAACGTCTGACAGCAGCTACACATTCACGTGCGTCTGAAACCAAACTCGTTAAAACACATCCTTTAACTTTTACTTTAACATTTGAACAAATCTTTTCTAATTCAGCTGTGCCCTAATATGTTTGATCCTTTTAGTCTATTTTAGTTTAAATTCTATTTTGTCATGTGGTCGTGGACTTCACAAGGAACAACCACCCCCCAAACATCGGAGGATCTGCAGTGGAAGTGGTCTCCAGCTACAAGAACCTGGGTGTGCACCTGAACAACGACCTCAGCTGGAGCAACAACACCACCAGCCTGATGAAGAAAGATCATCACTGACATCTACACCTCCAGATGCAGGAAGAGGGCCACCTGCACCATGAAGGACCACACTCACCCAGCACACACACTTTTTGCCCCGCTTCCCTCAGGAAGGAGGTTGAGGAGCATTAAGTGTAGAACCACTAGACTGAGGAACAGCTTCTACCCTGAGGCTGTTAGACTCATGAATCTCTAACCAGAATAATCACTGTGAAAATCACATCATGCTGCTGATTATTTCATGCTGCTGATTATTTCATGCTGCTGTGTTCATTCGTACTCACCTGCTCACACAGACTCATGTTCGTGCTGCTGTTGTTAACGCCGTATTGTTTCTGTACTATTAACGTATTCTTCGTGCATATCTTAGATCTTTTTACCGTTTTTCTTTTACATTTTATACTTTTGTTGGATGTTACCGGGACACAGTTTTGTTCCACCACATGCACCACATATTCACTTCAGTTCAGTTTATTTCTAAAACTCCAAGTCTCAACAGAAGTCGTCTCAGGGACTGAACAGAAACATTCATGTATAAAATAATAATTTAACAGAAACATTCAAATATAAAATAATAATTAAACAGAAACATTCAAATGTAAAATAATAATTGA